ATAGATATAGATATAGATATAAATATATATACATTGTATATTAGATAGACATAGACATAGACATAGATATAGATATAGATATAGATATAGATATAGATACAGATACAGATACAGATACATATACATAGACTATATATATATATATATATATAACTGTACATAAACTCATATACAGAATTTCTCATCTGAGTATATGTAGTTGATCACAAAAAAATAATATACGTAAAAATGAACTGATATGAACGTACCTTAACCAGGCTTTGCGCGTTGCCGTCTGAGATTTTGTGATGATAGTCCAGATTTAACGACTGCAAATTCTGCAAGGGCTCCAGTGGAATGAGGGCCTATACGAAGAAAAATCAAAGGATTTAGACACAGTTCTATATAAATACTTACAAAATTACACACGCACATGTATATATATGTATCTATACATATATATATATGTATATATATATACAAATATATATATGTATATATATATACAAATATATATATATATATATATTATTTGTGTGTAAAAATATACATATAATTGGGTTAAGTTGTAAATTTAGTCAACCGGAAAGTCAGCATGTGCTCACAGGTAAACAGACAACCATATTAATATGTACTGAACGTCACGTACGACCTTAAATATAAAACATGGGCTATGAGTAACCCGTACAAGCTTATACATATCCAAAAGCAATGCACCATCTGTATATAACAGCAGTCTAATATATATCCATTCATGTACACACATTCGCAGATACATATACGGATACGCTCTTTTGCATCGCCTTCGCCACTTGCATGGAGCCACAGTGAGGTGTGCACTGAGTATACAGATACAAATGCATATGTGTAGACACTAACAGGCCCATAGACATACACCTGTGAACACCGACTACACATGAACAAAATGCGATAAGCATACAACCGAAAACATCAACTACACAGCAACACAGTGTAATATACATGCACACCCGCACACGCACACTCACGTGCAAACACACACACACACACGTGCGCACACACACCTTCTCATCGCCTTCGCTGTCCGTATTGCCCACACCCGCGAGACACAATGACGTGAGTGTGGTGATGCGTGTGATACCCGCGATAGAAGACATGTCAATGCGTGTGTCAGAGATATCTAGGTTCTCCAGTTGGGTGAGAGACTCGCTAACTATGTCTGTGTAAGCGTAGTGTGTGGTGGGAAGGAAGTAAAGAGTATAAGTAAAAGGTACTGGGAGTGTACATGTGTATACGTGTGGTATAAATA